GTTCATACTGATCCGTTAGTTCCGGAACAGTCCCAGCACAGCGCTCGAATTGCCAGCTGTGCTGGAACTGCTTCCAGACTTACGGATCAGTATGAACCCAGCCTTAGTTTGCCAATTTTTCTCGGATTCACTAAAATTGTTACCGCAGTTGTGCACGAAAAAATAAACAATGCTCTGGGCTGGTCAAGATCAAGTCCCGCATTCTCTTCGTGGCAGGAAGCGTGAGAGACACTCATTTTACCGCATTACGATTTCGATGTGAACACACTTGAATGTCAAAAATAGTACGTAACAATTCAAGAAAAAAACCTTGTTTATAATGAAAAAGGACCAGACGAAATATCACTCTGATAAGTCGAAAAAAATTGCGTTGATTTCGTTACAGCTCAATGGAAAGGCATATTAACATTCTTCGCATGACTCTGTAGTGGTTTGTAGTTGATCAAGCTACTGTTTCATGGGCCATTCAAAAGTCTTTACAGTTATTGACTCTTTTTTCCATATAAGCTAAGGAACTGGGACTTGGTTTAAAGATAGGTGGAATACTAGTCGATAATAATTGGGTTTAAGAGTGATTTTGCCATCAAATTTCCAATTCGAAAAACCAAAACAGGAGGCTTAGTTATTAAAAGTAATCTTGTGAGCCTGCTCCATGATCATCATTGTTTCTTGCTTTTTCTGATAATAAAATATGGATAGCATAAGTGAACCGGAAATTTCTCATTGCAGGATCATCCATCATAAGCCTTCTCTTGATTTGACAATGTATTCAATTTTTTGCATTTTTTGACATGAAAACTTAGGCTGGTACGTATCTTCAGCTTCGAAGCTTTCATACCTTTCATCTGTGATGTTGGATGAACGGTGGAGATAATATGTCAACTTGTCAACTGGTGTCAACTGTCAACTATTAGTTGCAATTAATTGCTTTCATCAATTTATCGAGTTCGCGGTGCGGATGAACGTAACAAGGTCAGGAGAATTTGTTCCTAGTACGGCTCAGATCCAGCTGAGCTAACAAAACCATGTGCCACATAGCTAACGGAATGTTGACAAATCGCAACGTAAGTACAAGTTTCTGACGTGACAATACTGATTCTTAATATTTATTAACTAGGCAATAAAGACAAATTTTCAATACTTAGAGCTTTCTGCATCCTTAATGATAAATTGGTGGTTGTGAAAGCGATACACCGTGTAGTCCATAATCCGTGATATCATTCAAAGCAATCTGACGAGTGTACGCATCATCCTCGCGCTTTTTGCGGACAGTTTCACTGACTTTGAGCTAAAAGAGACAAGATGATTTCTGATAAACAACACACAAGAAAAACTTCACCTGCTTGATTACGAGCCTTCCACTATCTGGAGCATCTATACATGCTCCTAAGTTCGCCGTATCTTCTGAACTTCCTCTGTAAGCTGGAGCAGAAAATAGGGTTATAAGACGCCCATTAGCCCAAGTTGCATAGCCATGCAGTGGCGCCTTAATTCTTATTATGTAACCAGCCATCCGAAAT